GCCGAGGCACTAACGTGTTTACATGGCCAGATGTCAGAAACCTCACTTCAGATAATTCTTTGATGACCCAGACTCATTTTTTAGAAAACTGTCTTGAATTTGCCAACAAACACCAAGCAAATGGATACACACATGGCTGCTGATAATTGTCTGTTATGTTATCTAACTCTAATAAGGATGGCTCTTTAAATTTGTGAGTGCTGTATGCATTTATAAACCCTTTCATGTAAACAATTAAGAAACACATACCACCCTCCTCAGACCTGTCCTCATTTCCAACTTAGCAGATTTATACAGAGCTGTATTTGTATAAGAGGTCAGAAGTTCTGGACATGAGATGTAGCTCAAGTTGGGAGAATGCTTGCCTAGCATACATAAAGTCCCGGGTTCAACCACTTAGCACAGAATAAACCATACAAGGTGGCTCATACCTATAATCCTAGCACTTGGGAGGTAGAAGGTAGAGGCAGGTGGATCAGATATTCAAGGTCCTCTTCTGCTACACAGGGAGTTTGAGGTCAGCCTGGGCTGTGTGAGATTTTATATATATAAATACAGATAAATTTTTTAAAGGTTAGAGGTTCTTAGAACTCAACGTGTATGGGCCTGAGTTTTTCATTCGGCCCAATCAGCCTGACTCACAGACAGTGAGCTTGCGCCTTAAGAAGGCGAGCAAGATCCAGGGCTTCATCATGAGCAGGTGCTTCAAGTACTTAAGAAAATCAGACAGTTCCAGAATGTAGGTCGGATTACTGAGAACACTGCTCACAACAGCATGCACAATGCAGTTACTAGTTTTTGTTCACCTCTTTCCTGCTTCTGCACCAAACACAAACATCTCAGTCCATGACAAGGTAACATCTGGGCTTCTGGCGTCATAAGGTCATTTGATAAAGTCTTATTATTATTTTTTAATATTTTATTATTTTCAGTCCATGACAGGGTAACATCTGGGCTTCTGGCATTATAAGATCATTTGATAAAGTCCTATTATTATTTTTTAATATTTTATTTATTTCAATTTTATGTGTGTGAGTGTATTGCCTGCATGTGTGTAAGTGTACCCGTATGGAACAATGCCCACAGACGTCAGATCCCTTACAACTGGAGTTATGGACAGTTGTTAGCCACCATGTGGGTTCTGGGAATTGAACCCAGGTCCTCTGCAAGAGCAGTCAATCCTCTTAACCGCCAAGCCATTTCTCTGGCTCCTGTTGTTACTTATTTATTGGAGCAATGGCAATGGAACTGGGGGCCTCAAATTGCCTAAAAGGGCAGTGGGGTAAGTACTCTTCCCTTGAACTGCATCCTAGCCCTTGTTACTTTTTCTGTTAAGGGAAAATGGGAAGGAAGAGGGTGGAGCCTGGTGAAAATAGATTGAAGACAATAATACCATGCATTTGACTAAGGCCGGGTTTAGTCACCACTGGTTTGTCTTCACCAATGCAGGTTAGTAGTTGAGTCTTATGACTCAAGCCCAGCTGCTTCCAGACTGGCTTCAGGGGCCTCTCCTAACTGGAGCCTGTCCACACCAGCAAGCAGGGCCAGTACCCCAGGAAGTGGGCCCCTCCTTCCCTGGCTTTTGTCCCCACCCTGATAGTCAGCTGGGTCATGTGCAAAGCCTCACCTTTTCAGGGGAAAGTGAAGTGTTTGGGCAAGAGTTGGAATGTCTGTGTGGGTTGGTGCCACAGGCACTGGATAGGTGTGACAGGGTGGGAGTTCATACTTGGGATGAACAGGCCACCAGACCAAGACTGGCCTCTCCCTTCCTGTCAATGCTTCTGAATCTAAAGCACAAAGATTATCTTCCATCCGAGAATCAAAGATGTCCCATGAAGTGCCTCAGGCAGAATGTTCTCTGATGGACTCTGATAGTTTCATCCTTGGGGGGGGGGGAGGACCTTGTTTAGGGTGGAGACCACACTCCTCTCCAGCCCTGCAGTTCCTAAGACTAACCCAGTAACTTCCCCTGGACTAAGTAAAAGTAAAGCAGAATAGGGTACCTAAGAAAAAAGAGTGCAGCACCCATCACATCTTTACACAGTCTTCCTTGATGCTTGCTTTCTCTGTTCTTGTTTCTATAGAAGCTAGGTGTGCTCCAGGGAGAAGTGGATCATTTCTTCCTTTATCCATGCACGCATTCATTCAACATATTTTCACCGTTTATGCCCCAGGCCTGGAAGTGGGTACAAGGTTTTCTAACCTCACAGAACTTTGTAGTTGTAAAGATTGTTGGGTGTGCAAAATCTAGGAGAAGGGAGGTGACTTGTGCGAAATTACATAGCAAGTTGGGAGCAGAGCTAGATCATCAAGCTCTTCCAGGACCCTGTGCAGAAAATCAAATAGCCTTTTTTAAATTTCTTGGTCTTTTTGAGACAGGTTCTCCCTGTAGCCCCAGCTGGCCTGGAATTCACTATATAGACCAGGCTGGCCTTGAACTTGCTGTGATCCTTCTACCTCTGCCTGCCAAGGTTTTGGAGGTTACTGTTTTATTTGGTTGGTTGGCTAGCTTGGTTTGGGTACTGGGCTTTGTGAGGCTCTATATCAGCACCAGTGCCAACCCCCAACCCCTCTAACTCCTAGAGAGAGGAAGAAAGCAAGCTCTTTTTTAACCTGGAAGTTCATACGAGCAAGAAAGCAAGCTCCATCTCTACCTGCAAGCAGAAAGAAAACCCAACTACACTCTGTTAGCAAGAGTGTGGAAGAAAGATGTAGAAAATGAAAATTACTCCAAGAACACTTTCATGAGAGGGGGTGAGAAACAGGGCGCTCAGGTTTGCCCTTTCGCCATACATCTTTGTGTAGCTTGGAAATATATTACTTTATTAATCAGTGTTAAAATACCTCTCCAAATGGCATTCATGTCCCCTGCTCTAGCCAATCAAGACCAAAAGTTTCCCCCATCCTAGCTTAAAGAGTTAGCAAAATCTACTTGGCAATCTTACAATGATCATCTAAAACTTAGTGGCAAGAATTTAGATCTAGACTTCATCAATTGCTTTGCCTTCAGATGAATAAGGCATAAAGAATAAGAACTTAAACTGTCTCAAAAAGAAAGGAAACATTTACATAATCAAGCACACAAATAATCCAAGATTCATTTCAGCAAGGGTTACTTCTGGTATAACCCATGGTCCAGGCAGTGGTTCAGGGGTCTTACTCACAAACGGAAGTCTCGGCCTGTTTCCGTCTCTCTGATGGACTCCAAACTCTCCATGTTGAAACTAGAATTCAGTTCAGTTAGCTATGCTACTAAAATTTAATCTCCCTCCCTTCCTCCCTCCTTTCCTTCCTTCCTTTCCTTTTTTAGACAGGGTTTCACTAAATAAACATGGCTGGCCTGGAATTCTCCCTAGTGCTGGGAATAAGGGCATGCACAATCACACCAGGCCAGGAATTGAAATTTTTGTTTTGTTTTTGTGAAACAGGGTCTCACTATACAGCCCTAGCTGGCTGGAACTCCCTTTGTAGACCAGGCTTGCCAGGAACTCACAGAGATTAGCCTGTCTCTGCTTCCGGAGTGCTGGGATAAAAGGAGCGCACAACCATACCAGGCAGGAGTTGAATTGTAAAACTGCCTGCAATCTAAGAACAAGGTGGATTAATATCCTTTAAAAAAAATCTGTCTTCCATCTCATCTCTAGTGGTCAGAAAATACATAGAGAAGGGTTAGGATCCAAGTGGAACTCAGTTTTGCCCTCTGGTCCCTCTGCTTCCAGAGTGCTGGGATAAAAGGAGTGCACAACCATACCAGGCAGGAGTTGAATTGTAAAACTGCCTGCAATCTAAGAACAAGGTGGATTAATATCCTTTAAAAAAAATCTGTCTTCCATCTCATCTCTAGTGGTCAGAAAATACATAGAGAAGGGTTAGGATCCAAGTGGAACTCAGTTTTGCCCTCTGGTCAGGGATCAGACATGTATTTGAGACTAGTGATATCTGTACTTTTGTCATCTTCTCTCATTCTACGTGGGCTCGGGCTCTTTTTGAAATTCTCAATCAAGCTGGTTTTTGCTGGTATCACAACCTTTGCATCTAGGCTGGGAGAGGGGGGATAAACTCAGAACAAACATTAACAACGTGTACATAACATATATGCGTTGACGCCTTTTACAACATGGAGCGCAAGTGTGTCTTTATAATACAGAATATGTAAGTGCCCCATTCGCCCCTCTAGCTCCCTATCAATTTTTTCTATATAAATTCACTGCCAGGACATTTTTAGTGTTGAGACTTCTGTAACTCAAAGCGTGTCAGTAATAGCTACCCTGAAAGACTACAGCAAAGTAACGGGCAGTGGGTGACTCAGGACCTCAAATCATAACCTAACTTCTCCCTAACACGACCCTTGCTTAGACAGAACGCATAACTTTGCGTACCACAGCTGCCTGCCATTTAGTTGGAGGATACCAACAGAATACAGAGTGGCAGGGCAGGCTCTGCTAACACTGGGGTCTCTCAGCAAGCTCTCTGTTGCAGGCTCCAGGAAGCAGGGGCCACAGTTCTCCCGGCGAGGTCCACGTGGTCCGCACACAAATCACGGAGCACCAGGCCTCGGCCCCCGATCTCTTTGGCTGCCCTAAGGTTGAAGGTCAATCAGAGAAACACTTCTCCGTGGCGCCCAGTCACCACGGTGACCTCCTATCGGCGAGGTGACGACCGGGCGCGTGTGCGCGTGCGCCGACCAGTTCCAGCCCCAGGGCTCCGCGGCGTGGTGCGCTTGCGCCCGCCGACTCAGGGCACTAGGCCGGCAGGGCCAGCGGAGTGGTGCGCGTGCGTAAGCCTGCCGCAGGGCGTGTAGGGCGCGAGGCCCGGCAGCGCGCGCCAAGGAGGCCCGGGGAGCGAGCGGGTGGGCGGGCACGCGCGGCACTTGGCCGCACTGACGTTCCCCGGCCCGCGCCCCCCCGCCCCCGGAGCCTCGGCCCAGGTTGGCCAGCGGCAGCCCTCGCCCCTCCCCCGCGCCTCCCGGCCGGAACCGATCACGGCTGGTTTGAGCTGGTGCGTCTCCATGACGACGCGCAGGGTGTATAAGTAGCGGCACGGCGCGTTGTTGGCTTTGTCAATCCCTGCAGCCGCCGCCGCCTGCCGCCCTCAGCCAGCAGCTCGGCGCCACCTCCGGCCGGCATCTGCGGCGGGCGGGAGCGAGGCGGCTGACGGGGCGGCGGCGGGCGGCCGGGCGGTCCTCAGGCTCCAGCTGCGGCTCGACGGCGGCATCTCCATGGGGTTGGCCCGCGGCGCCCGGACGCTGTGAGGTGAGCGGGGCGGCGGGAGGAAGGCGCAGCCACGTGTCCCGAGGCCCGGACGACCCGGCGCCCCTCTCTGTGATGCGGCAGCCGGCGGGGACACGTGGTCGGGCCCGGGGCCCGTGACCTTGGCTGGTCGCATCCTTGGGTCCCGGGTTTAGGCTGCCTGCCGGCGAGGCAGCCGCGCTTTGGCGCCTGAATCCGGGCGTGGGCTGCAGGCCCTCACGACATTCACCCGGTCCCCGCACCACGTCGGCGACGGGTTTCGGAGCTGGGCTCCAGGCGGAAGCGGTTGCGAGGCCGACTCGCGCCTCCAACTGCTCAGTGCCTCAGCCCAGCTGGCAGAGGGGCTGGCCCGCGGCAGGTGCTGGGGAGCTCCAGCGACGGCCACGGCTCCAGCTGCTTCCGAGAGCTCGGGGCGCCCTGCTGCCGCGCAGGCTTGCGCTCTTCCTAGTTCTGTTTTTAGTTTTGCCAAGTGTGTACAGAAGAGCTGGTGACTCCGATGTGGAAGTTGCTAGACCTAAGATAGTCTGGGGGTCACTGATGTTTTATAAATACCCAACCCGTGTGACTTGGAATTATTTAAGGACTTTTTGAATGACTTCGGGATTTCTGAAAAGTCTGGCTCTAGGCGGCCGGGCGTACGCGTTAGAAGTTCAACTCCGAGCTTTAAAAAAAAGGCTGATTTCGGTGTCTGAGAACCCTCAATAACTAGTGAAAATGTGGGGAGCAGAGCCTGTCAGTAATGTCTCGGGAAGACAAAGAATGTGATGGCTTGCTTATTTTATTCAAACCGAAGATTGCGCAGAATTTGTTTGAATGGCGCGCATCTCCAAAAGGTAACCATCTGTGCTAATTAAGTCATTAAAATGAGTTCACTAAGCCCAGACTAAAGGTGTTAGTAAGCAACATTTTTCAGATACAAAGTACAGGTCAAGCTTTACAAGATACAGAAAAGCAAGATAGCAAATACTGCTGTATTTCAAAGAAAGCTTTCCGAGTTTAATGCTTGAAGGTGGCCTGGAAAATACTTAACAAGATCTTAAGTTAGCTGTTTGAGCCTGTATGTGGTTCAACCAAATGTTCCATGCATAGACATGAGTTTGCTGGCCCCATTTTCTGGCCTTCACATACGGGTCGACAGTACCAAAAGGTCACGTTACATGTTTCACCAAGTATGGGTGTGGATTTATGGCAGGCTTGTCACCCTGGGCCTCTCATAGTGTCCCATGCTAGAGCAAACTGTGCCTCTGAACCATTGCCTGGCCTCTGCCTGTAGGCTGCTGGCACTGAAGCGGGTCACACAGTGGAAAAGAAAGCTCTACCAGGCAGAAATGTTGAAAGGTTAAAAGTAATTCTAAGAACTTATTTGCCAGTGTCTGCTTTCATGAAGGCCAAGAACAGTAGCTTTTATTGTTAGCAGTGTGATGTTCTTGCTTATTTTTGTTATTCATAAAGTTAGTCAAAAATTCCTCCCATATGGTTATTACCATAACTAAGCAAATATTAGAGGGCCTTTGAGGACAGTTGGAATTCCCAGATGTGCCCATTTGGTAGGCAGCAATACTGATTCAGGAATACTGATTCTGGTAACAGCAACTATAATATAATATAGTGTATTGAGAGTTAGTTTTTAAAAAGTATATGCATCACTAAAAATTACTCAGGCCTAACACATACTGAAAGTAGGAAACAGTAAGGTGTTTACAGGGCTGCATGTAACTGCTGTAATGCCATTTGAGATTTCTGAAGAGCTGGAAGAGGTCTGAAGTAAAGCAGAGTGGCATTAAATGTGTCTCTGGACTAATGTGCAGATAAACTGCTGCAACCCACATTTTCGGGGTGGGGCATGAGGTTTTGAAATGCTTGAAAAATCATTGTGGAGTCTGGTATTCAGATACTGTGGAAATTTTGGGATCAATCAGTCAATCAGTCAATCACACCTAGGGGTAGGGTAGTTGGGATTCCCACATTGCTGAATGATCGTCCTACACTGGGTGCTTCATTCTGCCTGCTCATTGTGATGCTGTTAGAATGTCTAAGCTTTCATTTTGGTGAGATCCCAAGGTAGATAGCAAAGTCTGTTTTTTTTTTTTTCATTAGAACATTTCCACTGCTGCTTTGAGGAGACAAGATTCAGAGTTCCTGGAGAACTCTGCCTTTGTAAGAAGCTAGAAATCTGCTTCTTTAATACCATCTTTAAGTTTTCCATGTAAGTATTCAACTTATGCTTTCCTTGCAGGTTTGTCTTGTTAAGAATTATTGCTTAGGCTATGGAGTGAATTTCTTCACCCTCACTTGAACTTCTTGCATTTCAGAGGCACGCCAAGAAACCATGAACAACTTTAATAAGGAAGAGTTTGACTGCCACATCCTCGATGAAGGCTTTACTGCCAAGGACATCCTAGACCAAAAAATTAATGAAGTTTCTTGTTCTGTAAGTATGTGAGGCCCTTGCTGGCAGCTCCACTGAGTGCCTGGCAAGTGGGGTCCTGAAAAGAAAACAAACTGGAGTGTACATGATAGGGAATCTAGACTTTATTTTTGTTTTTGTTTTTTTTGAAACAGGGTTTCCCGGTAGCCCCAGCTGGCCTGGATTCCCTATGGAGACCAGACTGGCCTCGAACTCACAGAGATCCACCTGCTTCTGCCTCCCAAGTGCTAGGATTAAAGGCATGCGCCACCACTCCCATTAGGAATCTAGGCTTTAATTGGCTGTGGATTGTCCAGTGACTACTCACAGGAATAGGACTTGATTAGTGCAAAGAAAAGAAAAGGAGGGCACCTTTCAGTACTGCAAGACTGCTAATGACTTGAACCCATTCTCATTTCAGGATGATAAGGATGCTTTCTATGTCGCAGACCTCGGAGACATTCTAAAGAAACATCTGAGGTGGTTAAAAGCTCTTCCGCGTGTCACTCCCTTTTATGCTGTCAAATGTAATGACAGCAGAGCCATAGTGAACACCCTAGCTGCCATAGGGACGGGATTCGACTGTGCAAGCAAGGTAAGCCAAAGCAGAGGGTTTGAAAGTAATTGCATTCAGTGGCCCTGCTGTTCCCCACAGGACAGATGAGAGTTGTGTTTCTTGGGCAGTAAGAGTTGGGGAGCACATGACAATTTCATGTGTTTTTGTTGACTGAATACCACTCTTTTTCAGACTGAAATCCAGTTGGTACAGAGCCTCGGGGTCCCTCCAGAAAGGATTATCTATGCAAATCCTTGTAAACAAGTGTCTCAAATTAAGTATGCTGCCAATAATGGAGTCCAGATGATGACTTTTGATAGTGAAGTTGAGTTGATGAAAGTTGCCAGAGCACATCCGAAAGCAAAGTGAGTTACCTTGTTTGAGAGCAAGGGCAGAGTCTTGTCAGGCAGACTTATTCTAGTCAGTGTGTTTCTGTGCCTTAGTAGGAGTTAGGTTAAACCCTTGATTCGTTAGTAAGTGTTCAGAGTCAAAACCACAGCGCACCAGAGCCTGTATTTAGGACAGGATTCTCCTTATTGTGGCTCTCAGTGATCTGTCATGAATCCTTGATGCATTTCTCAATTCTAGGTTGGTTTTGCGGATTGCCACTGATGATTCCAAAGCAGTGTGTCGCCTCAGTGTTAAATTTGGTGCCACACTCAAAACCAGCAGACTTCTTTTGGAACGGGCAAAAGAGCTAAATATTGATGTCATTGGTGTCAGGTGAGATCTTGATGGCATAGTTACAGGCTGAGATTAGAAATCCCTGTCAGTTTTTACAGACTTTCACTGTTTTGAGAACTAGGAAGAAACAACATCTTGTTTCTTTTTTTATTTCAGCTTCCACGTGGGGAGTGGCTGTACTGATCCAGAGACCTTTGTGCAAGCAGTATCAGATGCCCGCTGTGTCTTCGACATGGGAGTGAGTATATGTGACTCATTAGTGAAAGGGAGCTATCTGAAATCACTACTCTTAATCTAGAATTAGCCTTTTGTAGAAGCCTTTTCTTTACAACATATTTAAGCCCATCTCCTGTGTACATTTTTACTTGTTATAAATCTAGTAATTTGATTTTTGAATTCTCTTGCCTCTAGGCTGAAGTTGGTTTCAGCATGTATCTGCTTGATATTGGTGGTGGTTTTCCTGGATCTGAGGATACGAAGCTTAAATTTGAAGAGGTAATTTATAGCACTTAACTGTAGCTGTTAGCAAGTTCCTTTATAGTTACAGTGTAGTCCAGAGTCTGAAATGTTTTTACCAATACCAAAAGAAATGTCTTGGTGTAGTGCTTCTAGTCACTTGTTTTGAGACAGTGTCTCACTATGTAGCCCAGGCTGGCCTTGAACTTGCAATTCTTTTTAGTTTCTGCCACCACCCCTGGCTTCCATACATTTCCAGTGTTCAGTTCCTTAGGAAGTATGATATTTGAGTTTATAAAACAGACCTTTTTCTTTTTGGAGACAGGATTTCAGATCTGCCTGCCTCTACCTCCCTAGTACTAGGATTAAGGTGTATACCACCACACCCAGCCAGATCTATATTCTTATGACAATTATGTGAAATAGGCAAGTGGAAGGAATTTTTATTTTGTTGACATGCATTTGCTAAATGAAAGTATTTTGGCACCTTGAGACCTCATTTATTATTGGGTTCTGGTTTTTGTTTTTGTTTTTGTTTTGAGATAGGGTCTCCCTGTAGATCCACCTGCCTCTGCCACCCAAGTGCTGGGGTTCAGGGCGTGCACCACCATGCCTGGCCTATTTGGGGGTTTCTTGGAGACAGAGTTTCCCTGTAGCCTCAGCTGGCCTGGAACTCCCTATGTAGACCAGCCTGCCTCTGACTCCCAAATGCTGGGATTAAAGGCGTTCACCACCACACCTGGCCTATTTGGGGGTTTTTTTGGAGGCAGGGTTTCCCTGTAGCCTCAGCTGGCCTGGAACTCCCTATGTAGACCAGCCTGCCTCTGACTCCCAAGTGCTGGGATTAAAAGCATACATCGCCACACCTGGTCTTTGATAATTTATTTTGTGCTATATGATAAAACCATACCTCTGAAGTTTTAGAGACATGTCCTGAGGGGAGTAGAAGTAAAACAGGGCACACAGACTGGTTTCTAAGGAGATGTTTACTTTGCTCTGTCACTTGATGATGGACCTGCTGGTGTCAGTTCCCAGGCTCTTGTCATGTCCTGTTACTCATGCTCAGGACTGTGATCTTTCTCCTGTGTGTGAGCTGTGCATAATGAATGGCTGCTCCCTTCTATCTCACTCTTAGATCACCAGTGTGATCAACCCAGCGCTGGACAAGTATTTTCCATCAGACTCTGGAGTGAGAATCATAGCTGAGCCAGGCAGATATTATGTTGCATCAGCTTTCACGCTTGCAGTCAATATCATTGCTAAAAAACTCGTATTGAAGGAGCAGACCGGCTCTGATGGTATGTGTGATGAAGAGGTTGAATCATCACAGGAATAACTGAGATAGGGCAGGTGGTAATTAAGGCTAATCTTTTTTCTAGATGAAGATGAGTCAAATGAGCAAACTTTTATGTATTACGTGAATGATGGCGTATATGGATCATTTAATTGCATCCTTTATGATCATGCACATGTAAAGCCCCTGCTACAGAAGGTAAGTTCTGAGCATATTGTGAAAAGCAGTGAAAATACTGGATTCCTGCATAATTACATAGCGATTCCTTTATAGAGACCTAAACCAGATGAGAAGTATTACTCATCCAGCATATGGGGACCAACATGTGATGGCCTAGATCGGATCGTTGAGCGCTGTAACCTGCCTGAAATGCATGTGGGTGATTGGATGCTCTTTGAAAACATGGGTGCATACACGGTTGCTGCTGCATCTACTTTCAATGGATTCCAGAGGCCCACTATCTATTATGTGATGTCACGACCAATGTGGTGAGTGAGGTCCTGCATGCTTCTGTTTCTTCCAAGAATAGACATCTGGGTTTGAAGAATGTAGCTAAGTGGTAGGGCATTTGCTTAGCATGAGCCAAAGCCCTAGATTCTAACCCTGGCATTACCAAAAATAAACAAGGTGGAGGTGGCTGAGCTTGGTGTGTGCCTGTATAATCCTAGTACTTGGGCTGAGGCAGCTCAAGATCATCCTTGATTGTATAGTGTGCTCAAGGCTAGCCTTAGCTACATGAGAGACCCTATCTCAAAAGGTAGAGGGGCACATTGGATTTGTGCTTGGTTCTTGTCTAGTTAAGAGATTGTTTTACCTTGAGTCAAATAAACAAAGGGAATTCTCCAGTTACCATACCAACTTGTATTTTTTTCAGATTTTCCTAAGAAAAGCCTTCCAACTAAAAGCAATTAGTTAGGTTTGTATGTAACTAGTATTCAGGTTACTGTATGTGACCTGTAGTTTCCTTATTAATGAAAATATTCTGAAGGAATACTTTAGGAATATGTTGAATTGCTTCCTGATGCTGTAGCTACCAAGGAAGTACTGTCAGGGGTAAATCTCTTGGGAGACTGCCCATACTGTCCGGTTAGGAGTGATTTGAATTTTGAATATGCTACTTTGTCTCTTCAGGCAACTCATGAAGCAAATCCAGAACCATGACTTCCCACCGGAAGTAGAGGAGCAAGACGTTAACACTCTGCCCATGTCTTGTGCTCAGGAGAGTGGGATGGACCGTTACCCAGCAGCCTGTGCTTCCACTAGTATCAATGTGTAGATGCCATTCTTGTAGCTGTTACCTTCAAGTGTAGCTTGAATTAAGGGATCTGGGGGGACCATTTAACTTAATTACTGCTAGTTTTGAAATGTCTTTGTAAGAATAGGGTTGGCACAGATGCAGCAATATGGAAAGCTAGGAGTTGGGGGTCACACTTACCTGTGTTCCTATGGAAACTTTGAATATTTGTTTTATATGGATTTTTATTCACTTTTCAGACATGATACTAATGTGTGCCCCTCAGCTGCTGAGCAAGCATTTGTAGCTTGTACAAAGGCAGAATGGGCCAAAAGCTTAGTGTTGTGACCTGTTTTAAAAATAAATTATCTTTGACCCATTTTAAAAATAAAGTATCTTGAAATAATTAGGCATTGGGAAATGTTTGCCACATTGCCTTTCCAGAAGGGGCACAAGTCCTGCCTAGGATGCTGTAATCTGACAGCAGTAGCATGGCAAACAAGGGAAAAGATGGGTGGGCCAAGGCCATGTCCTCTCTGTACAGTGGCACTCTGCTCAGCCCACCCTGTTTGCAGTTGGCTGTGACTTGGTACCTGGAACCTGTTGGTAAGGAATGCCATCTGCTGACCACCTGTTTGGCCTGGCCTGTGAAGGCATGTAAGGCCCTTTGAACCTTGCCTGCAGAAACCATGGGTGTTCTTCTCACTTGACTTCACCTACGTAACTGCCTAGTAACAAATGGGGAATATCATACAGCACTTGGCATTCAGCTTTCTGTAATAAATCCAACAACAGCAACTACTCTGCGTTGTAAATCTTTCTTAATCTGACCTTAACCACTGACTTTCTTATATTTTTTTGACTCACTTTACACCCAGCTTCCCCCAGAAGGGTGGTGGGCTCTTATACTGTTTCACCAGTTTGGACTTCATAGTTAAGCAAAAAAGTTAGGTGCTGACCTAGTAAAGCTACTAGTCTGAACAAGACTTTGGAGTCACATTTCAGAGGGGAGGGCTATGGGGATGAATTGCCCACTGTTGAAGCCCTCAGCTGGTGCTGCAGGTGCACATATGTAGGGAGAGGATCTCACTGCCTTCTCCCTCAAGGTCTGCTCAGCCAGACACTGAGTAAGCTTTGTTTCTTTTCCCAGGGCAAGGGCTATGGCTTTAGTTGGTAAAACATGAACTTTCGTGGGAGCTACAGGAAAGAGATTGTGGCTGGAGTTGAGGGAAAAAGACATGCCTTACCGAACAGCCCACCCTGTGTCCCAAGTCTTGGAAATAGGTTCTAGAGTGTGATGGTAACCCTGGGTTTCATACAGGTGGGTCTTCAAGGTCATACTTAACTCAGTCAAAAGTACAAAGGAATCAGCAGTACCTGTCTTGTCCCAAGAAATTTGAGCTGGACTTCAGCCTAAAATCTAGGCAGATTGGAGCTTACATTAAAAAAAAAAAAAAAAAAAAAAAAACCCCAGAAATAAGCAAGGGAACTTGGAAAGGGGCTGCCTTTGCCAACATGGGTCTGTCATGAGAGCTTTCAAGTTCAAGTTTGTAGGTAGGTATCCAGTAAGCATCGTTTTAATTGGTGTCTACTGGTGTATGCTAAGGTTGGAAGCGAGTGCTGAGTCCTCCAAGGTTACTACTACTGGTGGCCATTTCCTCCTGGGAGTGCTGGAGTCTTGCAGGTCCCCAGGGGAGTAGAGCCATTGGTGGTTAAGGGTGAAGGTTTAGGTGGTGGTTATATCAATAGGATCACTTGGGTAACTGATTATAAAGGTGATTAGGCCCCTCCTCAGACTTGGGTTGAAGGTAGTTAAGGCAACGGAGAAGCCTCTGAGAAAAGGTCTCAGTTCCATATAAGAAAGTTTTAAAGGTAAGGTAGACCACACAACTTCTGGAAACATTTAAATTCAAGCCAAGGGTCAAATGGGAAAGGACACAGGAAAGGGCTCACCTTTATATTACAATCTAGAGAAGTATGAGTGGCAAGTGGCTGAATGAATGAACTGTAAAATCCCAGCTTGTCATTTTGAGGTATGTTTCCACTATGCAGCCCAGCTGGCTTAGAACTTGCTATATAGCTCAAGCTCCTCTTGCATCTGCTGGAATTACACGTGTGTACCACCATGTCCGATACAACTTTTTGAATGTGGCCATTTCAATTTCAGAATGTATCTTTGTCACCTATCTGGCAAAGAGTTCCTTAGCCCTAGTAGAGTGCTCGCCTAACATGCATAAAGCCCTGGGTTCTCTCCCTAGAGCCACACAAAAAGGAAAAACTTGACACCGTGGAAGACAGGCATGGCACGCTCACACTAGAAGAAGCAACAGTCACATTTGACTGAGTAATTAGAAAAGCTGGGTTTCTGGTCTCACTGTCCTGCCTCAGTCCCTCCTGAGCAAATGCGAGGGTTACAAGTTGCTATATAGCTCAAGCTCCTCTTGCATCTGCTGGACATGTGTACCACCATGTCCGATACAACTTTTTGAATGTGGCCATTTCAATTTCAGAATGTATCTTTGTCACCTATCTGGCAAAGAGTTCCTTAGCCCTAGTAGAGTGCTTGCCTAACATGCATAAAGCCCTGGGTTCTCTCCCTAGAGCCACACAAAAAGGAAAAACTTGACACCGTGGAAGACAGGCATGGCACGCTCACACTAGAAGAAGCAACAGTCACATTTGACTGAGTAATTAGAAAAGCTGGGTTTCTGGTCTCACTGTCCTGCCTCAGTCCCTCCTGAGCAAATGCGAGGGTTACAAGTGTTTGCTGTCACACCCAATATCTCTGAAACGTGTGTGCTTTTTTCTGTTATGTATGTATGTATACATACACATGTTTGTGTGCAGGTGGGTGCATGCAAGTGTATGGAGACCAATCTAACCTCAGGTGTCTTCCTCAATTGCTTCTCCACCTTAGTTTTTGAGACCTTGTCTGAGCCTGGAGCTGATTGGTTGGCTAGACTGGCTGGCCAGCAAGCCCCAGGGATCCTTCCTGTCTCCACCTCCCCAACCTGTGCCACCTGGCTTTTATGTGGGTGCTGGAGATCAAACTGCCTCCCTGCGCCATCTCCCCAGCCCCTCGCACTGAAGACAGCTCACTGTGACCTTGTTTGTAGTGGTATAGATTTGAAAAAGCCCAGTATCTACAAGAGGGACTGACAGGATGCAGATCTGCTTGTGCTAATAGGGAATAGTCACTCAGCTGGAATAAGTGAAAACTGTAAGGTGAGCTCTGTAGTATGCTACTCTAATTGATGTAGAAAGCAAAACCAGACCCAAATCTATCAATTGAACAGCGCGGTGGTTGTCCCTAGGCAAGAGAATTGGAGGAGGAGGAGGAGGAAGGGAAGTGCCCCTGACTTTTTACTGTCCTTTTCACATGTAGATAGGTACTGATTGATTTCTAACAGGCTTTCTAAGTGGAGCAGTAGAGCTCAGAGATAAGCTTGAGGCACCCAGTGGAAGAGGCCACATTCACACCCTTGCTGAAGACCCCAGTCTTCAGTGTGAAGGTGCTGTTAAGCAGCCAATAGTGTTTGGCCAGCAAGGCAGCCACAGTGTTGGCCAAGGCCAGGTCCTCATATCTGTAGAGCCCAAGAGGGCTGGCTCATGCCCACTCAACTCATGAGGTCAAATGAAGCCTTCTGGAGTCAAATGTTCTGTGCACTGGAATCCTAACCCTGCCTTCCCCAGAGGGCGTGTCTGCCCAGTCAGGGGGGATCAGACCCTAGGTGGCAGAGCTCCTAGATGGGGCACTGTAAGTTCAGCCTGCACTCTAACCAAGGGGCAGGCCACAGAGCCATATGCCTTCAGCAGGCATCTCCCAAGCCTCCTGGCTGAACATAGCTTTTCTTTCCTGTGGGAGACCCTCCAGCACACTCAGGCCTTACTGGGGTGCCCTTGGTAGTCAGGTGCTCTTCACATGGCACACAGTGACCTCTTTGTAGGTCACTTACTAGTCTTGCTGAAGTTATTCTGAGTGGCTAGATGGTCACTTCCTCTCTTAGGGGTTTTTCTGGCTCTAACCTACCCCACCCCACATGCTGGCTCTGGACTTTTTTTTTCCATCTTTACTCCAGCTGAATAATCTCCCTGGAAGAGAGGCAACTTTCTCCAAGCTCTGCTCCTAGCCAAGGGTCCACAGTAAACTCAGTGGAGAGCAAGAGGGGGACGGGCTCTGCCCTCTGCCTTATCCAGGTTTGTACTTGGGGCTTTGTTTTAGTTTGCTTCCCGTTGCTGTTTAAACACCATCACCAAAAGCAACTTGAGAAAAGGTTACAGTCCCTCATTGAGGGAAGACAGGACAGGAACTCAGGCATGAACCTGGAGGCAGAAACTAGGGCAGAGACCAAGGAGGAATGCTGGTTATAGGCTTGCCCCCAGGCTCACATTCAGCTGGCTTTCGTATACAGGGATTTACTGCTCACAGTGGGCGGGGCCTCCCACACCAATTGGCAATCAAGAGAATGCCCCACAGATATGCCCACAGGCCAATCTGGTGGAGGCAATTCTTCAATTGAGGTTCCCTTTTACCAGATTTGAAGCTGACGTTAGCCATCACAGGCTTTAGGCTAGGTGCCATTTGAGCAGGCTTTGCTGGGTTCTCCCAGAGATCAGTGACTGTTCCAAGCTAAGCCAGTGAACCAAGAGAAGGGCCTGGGAACAAGCAGGAACAATGACTAGGATCTTTCTTCCTTGCTCCCTACTCGGGTGGCAGCAAGTGGGGCAGCCCAGAGCACCTGTGGCCCTAGAACTCAGCTCACCTTGGCACCTCATTCCTGTCAGGGACTGAGCTTGGAACTGGACAGACCAGTTAAAGCTTGACCCCACCTCTGCTAGGCACATAGCCTCTCTGCAGCTGCCTCCTCCACAGTGGGAGGCAAGCCAGTGCCTACCTTGCAGACTTGCCACAGGCAGGGTTTGTGGAGCCCAGAATTTAGCATGCGGAGTACAAATGCCTGAATAATTCCTCTTATTGTGAGATGTTCATATGTAGCTCAGGCTGGTCTCAAAGTTGCTGTGTAAGCAAGGATTACCTTAAACTTTTAATCCTCCTGCCTCCATCTCCCAAGTGATAATGGATTACTTATGTGCGTGCATACCCAGGTTTATGTGCTGCTAGGGATGGAACTCAGGGCTTCTTGTTATAACCCCTAACCTTACACATAAATCGTTCTTGCTGTAGGTGGGAGAAGGGTTTTATGCATACTCACTGCTGCCTTTTGGATGGGGAGGGAATGTGACCAGATGTGCTCACCCAGCCTAAAATGTTGGTTCTCCATGCTGGACAACTGAGGTGCCCTCAGGAGAAGACACAGGGTGGTGCACTGAGCTTGGGATGAGAGTCTGTGCAAGATGGTGCCTCCACTAGGTGGCCTGTGCACTGTCATGGGCTGCCTATGGCATGGCCTGATCCCTCCAGCTCCCAACCCGTCTTGTGGCTGTGCATGATTATCTCCCAATTGATAAGCAGGGAGGCCACATTTAACAAGTAAATTATAGGATTTTGCATGGGACCTATTAAAAAAAATATTGAGGGTTGGGCCTCGTGGCACATAGTTCCAGCACTTGAGCGGCAGAGGCAGGTAGCTCCCTGTGAGATTGAGGCCATCCTATCTACATAGCCAATTCCAGGCCAGCTGGGGCTACAAGGAGACCCTGTCTCAAAAAACAAAACAACCAAAAAACCCCATTATTTGTGGGCTGAAGATGGTTCAGTGGTTTAAAGAGTTTGCTGGCTTTTCAGAGGACCCTGGTTCAGTTCCCAGGACCCACATGGCAGTTCACAATCATCTGTAACTCCAGTTCCAGGCGATCTAACACTTCCTGGCCTCTGTGGGCACCAGGCATGCACATGTATACATGGAGGCAAAATACTGACACACACAAAATAAAAATAAATGCATCTTTTTAAAAAAAAATACTATTTGTAGTTTAGCGGACATTCACATTTAACTGAGTGTCTTTTATCTGGAAAACCTACAGGATGACAGAGTCTCTGAGCGTTGGGCACCAGGAGCCAGCCCCAGCTTCTGTGGGCTGTGTGGCCTGATGCAAGTCAGGTGCCCCTGTGGTCTCAGCATCTTCATCTGTCAAAGGGAATGGGAGACAGAAAGCAGGCCCAGCTCCAAGACCAGGCTCTGAGGGAGGTTCATGGACTTGCACAGTCCTCCCAGATGTGGCCACTAGGGGGCAGTAGCACACAATGTTTAAGATTATGGGCCATTCCATGTAGAGCTTCACTATGACAGAAGGCTCCAGACAGACTTTGTGCCCTGACCAGGTCCCTCTTTCAACTCTTCCAGGCCTCACCCCTGCCTAATACCATAGGACCTCAAGGGACAGGCCAGTAGATACTCTTCAGGCCCTGTTCCGCTGTCCCTTTAGTGGGTAATGCCTGCAACCATGGCCTCCTGAGGTATCCCCAGGTCTTCCTGTGTCTACATGTCCACATCACCCTGGAGGCAGTGTCTATGCCCATAGATCTGACCTATTTGTCCCCTAGCACACAGAGCAGATTTGAGGATGGGGTCCAGAGACTTGTGTGTCTCAGTGCAGCTGTCTCTGGTAGCTGGTGCTGAGCTAGAGGTAGAATCCACCTAAGGCTATTCATGTTGTCCCTCCCCTTCTCTGCATGTCACCCATCCATGCCAACCTCCCAGTCCCCAATGTCTGACCCTCTCCCCATGGCCTCATCCCTGCAGCAGTAGTCAGGGTCTTGTGAGCTAGGCCCACATACACTTCAGCCCTGTTCCCTGAGATCAGGCCCTGTCTCTGGGATCCTCATCTCTTGCAGGATGTTGCAGCTGGCTGGTCAGCATGTTTGCTTTCAGAACCTAGGGCTCCCATAGCGGATAGAGGTTTTGCCCAGGATCACACAGTGTATTCACAGTCACTGGACTTGCAACCAAAGTCTCACAGACTGTCCTGGGTCACATGGGTACAGTTCCAGAGATGAGTCATTGAGTGGGGATGGGGAAGGTTTGCATGAAGGAAGGAGTAAGTCCTTGAACAGCCTCTGAGGCCACATCCAGGTCTTGCTTCCAGGGCAGGACCACAAAGGTTCTGAGGGAGTTGGGAATCATGCAGCCTAAGCGCTGGAGTCGTCTTCCTGAGGCACTATTGAGTGCCCATAAGAAGCCTTGTTTAGCCATGTAAATTACTTTCTATCTGCAGCACAAGAGATACATGTAAAATCTTCAACCAAATTTACCCAGCTCCAGGTGACCACACAGGACAGCAAAGGGTCTGAGGCAAGGAAAAGGGCAAAAAGGATTTTAGGGGGTAGGCCCTCCCACTCCTCCAAGAGCCTGCTCCTAAATGGAGGAGGCCCCTGCAGGGTGGTAGAGGAGGGGTAGTACTGCTGTGCAGGTAGCTTGGATGACAATCCAGGGTTCACTCAGTTTTTTCTCCTCTGGTGAGCTGGGTTTCTTAGCATGTGGTTGTCAGCTTTGGGGCTACTTCCCCTTTCCCCTAGGTATCAGTAGACTGACTCCCTCAGGACCTGGACTGACTTACAGAGTTCCTCCTAGGACAGGGTCTACTGGGACCCTCAGATCTATATCTTCTACATTTGACCAGAAGCAGCTGTAACAGTGACATTTTTTTTTTCTAGACAGGGACTTACTCTGTAGCCCTGGCTGGCCTGGTAAGTACCATAGCAAGTACTATGTCCAGCTTGGACTCAAACTTATGGCAATATTCTTGCCTCAGCCTCCTGAATGCTGGGATTACAGACATAGACTACACTGGCTTTTTGGTGATAATTTTATCTGTTGATGGGGGTCACAGGGTGTCCAGATATTGGTCAAAATTTATTCAGGGTGTGTCTGAGAGGGCATTTCTGGATGAGATTTATACTGGAGTGGATAATTGGAGTAAAGAACATGCTCATCCTCATGTGGGTGGGTCTCATCCAATCCATTGAAAGGCCTGAACAGAAAGAAGGCTGAGCAGGAAAGAATTTGCCTTTAGCCTGGTAAGTGAGCTGGACACTGGTTTCCTCTTGCCTTCAGTCTTGGACTGGAACCATATCATTAGTTCTGGGTCTCTGGATTATGAAATGTAGATCTTAAGATCTTCTAGTCTACATTATTACCCTCATTGCATCAAATTCCTCCTAATCGGTCAGCCAATCAAATTAACCTACCATTCATCTCTCCTATCCATCCTTTCGTTTCTTCCATCTCATCCATCATCTCTATCCATTAATTCATCTCTTCCATTTATCTCACCCATATATGTATCCATCCATCCATCCATCCATCCATCCATCCATCCATCCATCATTTCTGCATATATCTTTCTCCCTCTCCAGCTGCCTCTTTGGAGAACCCAAATTCATACAGCACTTGTTCTCATTTACATTCATTAGACTTCTCCATGGCGACTACAGCCCTCCGCACAAGAAGTCTATATATTTAACCTTTGCCAATTCTAGTTACATTTTTGTAAAATCCAAGCATCTCACATGTGATTCCTTCAGGTCAGGCACAGGTGTCAAAGGCACCGTCTTGCCTCTTTTAGCAAGAGGAATCTATGTTTGAGTCACCTGGCCTTGCCTCCTGACCTCCCCTGGTTCCCCATAAGGCTTGGCAGCCGTGGGTATGTGGAGAGTTTTACCAAGAAACAGCCTCCACAGTCCCACTGACTCAGAAGACATTTGGAAGATGGACTTACTCTTTCTATTAAAAGAGGCATGAAGTCTCAAGAGGTATTAAAATAACTAAAATCAACTAACTATCTGCCATCACAGGAGTCCTGCTGAGAGGAAGTTCCAAGCACAAGCTCTGCAAACATGTGATCTTGACCTGTCCTCTCTCCTTATGCTTTGTAAAGAGGAAGCCACCGAGGAACAGAGAAGTTGGTGGCCAGTGGACAGGACTGAAGGACTATGGGTGTCAGTCTTTGCAAGGGAAATTCACTTGTTTTTGTCCCTGCAGCTCTCCCTTTTGGGGGAGCTTGGGACTTCCTCAGTCTAAAGCTCATCCCGTGTGTACTGGGTAAGGACAGGGATCATGGTTCAGCCAGTAAGATAGGAGGTTGGCAGGAAGGATTCAGGAACATCTTCCTCTCAAATGAAGGACAGCTGCTTCTTTTTCTGCCTTCTGGATATTCCAGACTGCAGCAGTCATGGAGACTCCAAGAAGATCAGTTTGAGGACAAAACCTGACTCTATGAGGCTGGATGTGGGATGTTGTTAAAGGAAGGAGGAAAATACTGATCTTCTATGACTTCTGGGCACAAGAGGCAAACATCCCCATGGTAGAAGCATCTTCAGGGACCAGATGAGATGCACCAGAAGAGGCAGGTGAGAACCCAGGTCTCTCCACAGCTGTGCTGATGCCACTAAGGTACAACTGCTCTCCTGGGATGTGGCTGTCCTGCTGTCTCACTGATTAAGCCACACGGGAAGAGAGAAGGGAGTAAAGGAGGGAGGCAAAATGCCATAGTCAGCCCTGCCAGGAACAGTCATCTTTTATTTTCACAAGTATTTCTTGGCATTAGGCGGATATTGAAGAACAGGCACACAGATTTACAGACACACTGACAGTTAGAAGGGTACTGGAGGGGCTGCGTTTATCAGCAACAGTTGGATGCCCAAGAACCCACCTTTGTTGAAGCAGGGAGATGGGCAGGACCATGGACAGGGCTCTCACAACAAACAGGAAACTCAAAGGACTGTTTATGTGATCATTTTAATATGCCAGACCAATCAACAGGGAAGACAGAGCACACACAAACACCTGTGTTTGCAGCACAGAGGGCAGATGTCCACAGCCCTGGCATGCATGCATCTCCTGTGGAATCAGGCAGATCAAGAATGCATAAATACCACAGCACAGCCAGAGTCAGAGGGATCACGGGCCACAGGGGACCATGCTTCAAAGGCAGTCAGAGGCATTAAATACAGGACCTACATGTTACAGTCCACATCACCATACACATAACTTATATATTAAAAGAAAGGAGACCACAGTATATATATATA